TCAGAGAGAGAAGGAGATACAGACTCTGAAATAGTCTCCAGGATCTGAGCTGGCAGTCAGCATAGACCCTGACGCGGGGCTCAAACCCACGAACCGCGAGATCATGACCTAAGCGAAAGTCGGACGCTTAACCGACTAAGCCACCCAGGCGCCCCAGCACTGGTTATGTTTTCAACATAACATGGTTATATTTGAATTTGTATGTTTTTGAGAAACGAAAGCCACTTTTGCATTCTGCCTATCACAATGGGTCTCTAAAGTGATTTGATATATTTGTAATGGAAACACCTTCAAACTTTAGTTCTGTGTCCTAAGTCGGCAGTGTTATTTAAGAGTTAACGCTCACATGGTCATCACGGGAATTTAACAGTGATTCTGTAACCACAGAGGTGTTTTCTCACACCCGTATCCTCAGGGCTAGATGCTCATTAGACACTAAGGAGAGCCTATTTTAAGGAGGGAATTAAATGCTTTGCTTTTGATTCATGAACATTTCCACTTGAATCTTGTTTATCAAGAAACACCCTGAACCCATTTTTCAGAAGGTGTGGACACTTAAGAAGATTTATTTTGGAATATTAATGTTTTAATAACCTGCCTAGGATCAAAGATTTTCTCCTTGAAAATTAAACACTATTTTGATTTTTTAAATGTGAAATAATACACCGGTTTTTACTTGTTTTATAACATAAGGCAATACAAAATTGTAGTTTGTTTTTACAGTGAATTGGTTTGAATTCATAAAAAAAAATTTAACCTGAAGATCTAGGAATACCTAGGGTAGCTGAAGAAATAGTCTTTAAAATCATATTTGTCTATTTTCAAGACTATGCCATTCAGCGAACTGACTTTATAATAATATTTTCTTACTGAAATGACAATGACCTTTGTTTTTTAGGCTTGACTACAACAATACTGTCAGAATGCATCCCTCACTTTAGTCAGGATTTATTAACATCAACACTCATAGAAATTTGGAGGCAGTGAGCATGCAGGTGACAGATAGGGTAGCAATCATTGAGCACCTACTGTATGCTGGCCTTTATTAAAGGTTAGTGAATGGTAAGTATAGCAGGACACTGACCTCAAGCTTTAAAATGGAATTGTCGATGCAAGGTATACACACATTACATTTCTTGTGAGAGTTAATGCAAAATATTCATACGTGCAGATAAAACACATCAGTTTCAGGAGTCTACAGAACACAGCTATGGTGGGTTAGGTATGAGAAAAGTTGAAGGAGGCTTCCTGGAAAGACAAATTAGATCTAGTAGGAGGGTAGTTAGTGGGCTGGGGAGGTGGTGAGTAAATGCCCCACAGCTGAACTCCATTTTTTAACAGGCCAGATAATCACTAATAAATGAGTTCATTAGAATACAGAGCATTTGTGGGATGATGTATCAAACCTGAGGGACATATAAATTGATAATTTACTAAAAATTGAAAATCAGACACATAAAACCCACATATTCCTATTGAGTGTGGGAGCAAGAGCCACCTGCCTATTCATTATTTTGCTCAGATAACCATGTACTTGCGTAAGCCACAAAATTTACAATCAAGGTAACGAGAATGTGTCTTGTTAATAGACTATCTGTATAAGTAGATTAGTTTAATATTTAATCTACCTTTCTTTTCTATCTTTCTAAAGAAATATTTGAGAAGAGAAAGCAGATTATCCAATCAGTTGGCAATGTAAGTTTTACAGCTGTCAGCTCTTAGTAAAAAAAGTTGTAAAATAAAACCAATTAAGACACAGGCCTGCACGTTGACCAAAATTTCATTAAGTGCAAGCCATATTTATTATAAATTTAACTTTTAGGCTATTAAAGGGGGTGGGTGGTTATTACAAAGAAATTTCATAATTTTGAGGAAATCATTTTAAAATATCTTAGGCTCTACCTTGACCCATGTTTTAAAGTCCTTTTAAGAACAAATGATTCAAATTAGACGATAAACAGGCAGATACTGAAGCAAGCATAAGGTCTCATTACCAATATAAACTCCTTTCCTGATCATTCTTCTTGGTAAAAGAGCAGAGACAAATGCTTTTAACATTGATCGTCATGATTTTGGCAACTTTACTAGTGTTAACTGCCTTCTTAACATTATTTTAGTTTTTATGCTTTGCAGTAGGCTAGCATTTTCTCAGTTGAAAATGAGGGAAATCTTTTATTTCACAAAGAGCACTGCGCAGGTGTGAATGTCTGTCTGCCCCTCCCGTGATCCTGGAGGTACAACTAATAATTCCAGTCGTGTTTAAATTGTAGTGCAATCTGGTAACATTTGGACATAGAACCACATCGCAAATCTCATGGGGACTGAACGCTGCACTCACTTAATCGTGGGCCGGTGTGTTTATTCATAAAAGGTTTGGAGGAACAAATGTTTGGTGACAGCTTTTCCCTCTTCTGATATATCACCAGAGAATTTCAAAGAGAAGGAGAAGAATCCACAGGAAGCACATTCTACAGGTGTCGCCACACCTGGGTACAAGGGTGAGTGACGGAGCTTTTACATCCGTGTGTTTGCAATTTAGATCTTGGACTAAACAATCTTTGCCGAAGAAAGGGCACGTGACTCGGTGCCCGCTACACTTCTGTTAACAGAGCCAGTCTCCAGCACTGAGGAGGGCGTTACTTAACCAATGTGATCGATCATCAGTAAACCCCACCTCAGCGTGTTCCTTCTCCGTTGTCATGTTTTGTCGTTTTTAATTTGTCCAGGAAATGCGTGCCTTTCAGCAAGCGTTTGGAGAAAAGAAGGACGGAGCGTAGAATGAAGGTTGATGCCAGAAAAGGGTTAGAGAAAATTCTAAAGTTTGCCCTCTGATTTAACAAGGACCCAGAGAACAAATATTTGACGCTTCCCGGCCCGCTTCCCGCGCCCACGTGGAGGCTTATATTCGAATTACTCGTACATTTACTTGTAACGGAAAGGTCACTTTAATCGCTCCAAAAGGCAACAAAAGAAACGTAAACGACAAGAAGAAGCGTTTTGCGCGTAAAGGAACGAACAGCAAACACTCGGAGGAGAAAAGCGGCCCCCCCCCGCCCCGCCCCGGCCGTGCGAAGACCCTCCCCGCGCGGCCGGGTCCGCAGCGGGTGCCGAGTCCCGACGCCCAGGGAGAAACCCGAAGTCGGAGTATGCGCCTCAGAGATGCGACGGCCGGCATTGTTCTAGCTTTTTCTTAGTCGGGAAGAAAAAAAAAGAAAAAAGCAACGGCAAAAATACCCACTCTGTCAGGTAAGGGTCACCAGAATCCTTTTCCTGTTTCGCAAGTTGAGGGATTACGATCTGGTGAGAGCCAGGGCCGACGCCCGTTACAGGCAACGCTCCCCGTGCGCCCCGCAGTTGCAGAAACGCCCGCAGCCATTGCTGGGAGAGGGGAGTCGCATCAAGTCCCAGGCACCCCACTTGCCCAGCCTGGCGCAAACAGATATGCTCTTTCCCACTGTGGGGTGTTTGGATGGGAGTGGGGGAAAAGCAGAGACTAGGGAAGGATCTGGAGCGCGCTTCAAAGTAAGAACAGCCGAGAACTGGGCGGACGGAGGAAAGCGTGGAAAGCACGAGACTCCGGGCAGAAAGCGTGGACAGCGAGAAACGCCCGGGTGCGGGCCCCGGGCCGCGTGTCAGCCGAGCGGCTGCTCCGCCGCGCGCACCGCGCGCTCAGCTGACCGCCCTGCTCGTCGTGCAAGTTGGGCTTCGGTGCGCGCGCTCCACTCCTGCGGAGGTGACCCGGTCCAGGGAGTCTGGACAGCCCGTCCCACCGTGGGGCAGCAGGCCTGAGGGCCCCCTCTCGGCCCCCGACTGCACTGGTGACCCCACTCAGCGCGCCTGCCGGGACGCAGGCACCTGCGCATCTGTGCGCCCTGGCGCTTCAACTTCCCAAACTCCTGGCGGCTCCTTGTTCTGAGCGCCCATTGGCGGCACATTCCCCGCCAGCAGCAACTGTTTGCGTTCTGGCAGGGAAGGAGGGAGCGGGGGTGGCGGGTCGGGTGGGTGAGGCTGTCCTAAAAAGCCGCAGGTGACGAGGCGGTCCTCGGGGCTTTGGGGTGATGATCTTACAGCTTTTCTTTTTTGAGCCACAGTTTGCCCTTTTCATTCTCTGACCTTACGGGGGCCAACGGGGCTGTGCACCCCAAGTTCGTTTTAAAGTGTGTGTCTCAAAGGGGCTCCTGGGGATGAACAGACTTTCTAAATCGTAGTTTATTGGAAATACTGCGCGTTGACTTAAACTCCAACCGAACGTCCGAGTTTGAACTCCTCTCCCGGGAGCTCTGAGCCCAGCCCGGTCGGAGCCGCTGGCCAGCCACCAGGCGGGCTCCCTGACTCGGGCACGGGCCGGGCCGACGTGGCTGGCCCCGCAGCGCACAGCTGGAGTAGCTGCTGGGCGGCGGGTTTAGAATCCGGGACACCAGACCCAGATGTGGACGCCCTGCAGAGGCGCAGGAGCTCCCCACCCCCCAGCCCAGCCCAAGCAGGACGCCTAGCGTCCAAGAGGCCCGAGGGGTGCGGGCGCCTGGCGCCCGGGGACCCAGTGGCGGCGGGGCGCGCTGCGCGGGCGGCGGCGGCGGCGTGGGGAGCGCCCGCTCCGCCAGTGGGCGTTCTCTGCAGCCGCCGCCGCCTCCTCGGGCAGCGGCACTGCGGCGCTTTTCTCCGCCGCTTTCGGGCGGTCGCCGAGGCTCAGCCGCCGGAGCGCGCACAAGCCCCGCCACGCTCGCCGGCAGCGGCTCCGCAGCCGCTCGGCCTGGCCGCCGCCCGCCGCCGCCGGGGACTCGCGCTCGGCCCCGGGCCTCCCGCACCCGGAGCGGGACGCCATGTGAACGACCGGGCCGGGAGGGGCGCGGAAGGGCGGAGAGGAGGACCGGACCCGCGCGCTCGGGCCGCCCGGCCGGGGGAGGGCAGGTCCCGCGGGGGCGGAGCCCGCCGAGTCGGGGCCCGCGGCGCGCCCCTCCCGCCCGCGGCCTGCCCCCGCCGCGGCCCGGGGGAGGAGGGCCATGGCCAGCCCCGCGGAGCCGCTGGCTCCCCGCCCCCAGGCCCCCCTGCCGGCGGCCGCGGACGAGCCCGGCTCGGGCCCCGGCAAACTCCGCCCGGAGCCCAGGCGCGGCGCGGCCGGCGGGGGGAGCGCGGCGGGCCCGGGTCCGGCCCCCGAGCGGCCTGGCGGCGGCCGGGCCGAGCGCGCCGCGCCCCCGCGCCCGCACCCCGCCCCCGCAGGCCTCGCGGGGGACCCGGGCGCCCCGTGCGCGCGCGGCGGCGGCGGCGGCTGGGTCTCGGCCCGCACTCCCCTCGCGCTCGCCCTCTCCTCCCCTGTCCCCTCCCCCGCTCCATCTTCCTTTTACTTCTGGCCGCCGCCCCCCCCGCCCCCTCCTTCTCTTCTCCCCTCCTCATCTGCCTTTCACCTCCCCGTGCGTCTCCCAGGAAGGGAGGGCGCGGCGGCGGCGGGCGGCGGCGGCGATGCAGGCGGCGGCGCACCGGCGGCAGCTGCCCTGAGCGCCCCTCCCGGCGGCAGTCCCCGCGGCGGCGGCGGGCGGCGGCGGCTCTTCCTCGGCTCCGCGCTCCAGGGCTTGCTGCGCCCGGGCCGCGCCGCGCTCCGGCTGCCGCTCGGCCCCGCCGCCCGCCGCGCGGGCTCCCCCGGCTTCGCGGCCGCCGGCGGGGGCTGCCCCGGCCCCGGCCCCGGCCCCGGCCCCGGCGGCGGCGGCGGCCGGACTCCGCGGCGGCCCCGAGGCGCCGGCTTCGCCCTCGCCGCCGCGTCCCCCCTGCTCCTCGGCTCCGACATGGAAGATGGACCTTCCACTAACGCGAGCTGCTTCCGAAGGCTGACGGAGTGTTTCCTGAGCCCCAGTAAGTGCCGGGCTCCTGCTTCCCCGCGGGCTCCGCCGAGGGCGGGAGGCTCGGGGCGCGTCGGTGGCGCGCGGGAGCGGCCGTCCGCGCCGGGACACCCGGGGTTCCCAGGCTCCGCGCGCCTGCCGGGGGCAGGGCGGCCCGGCTGCCGGCCTCGGGTCCCCCGGCGCTGTTTGTGGCCACACTTGCCCAGCACGTCGTCGCCGTCCCTACTCCGTGGCTGCTCTCTGCGTAGCCTGGGGCCGGTGGGCTTCCGCTGGGGGGCCCCGCCCGCTGGGTCCCTGGGCCGGGTAGGGGCAGGCCGGGACCCCGGAGCTCCGCGCTCCCGAAGGTCCCCCGGGGTCGGGGTCGGTGCCGGGCCGCTTCCCCTGCGGCACCCCCCACCCCCCCCCCCCGCCCTGCCTTGACCCTGTTCCAGAGCGCGGACTAGCAAAGTGAAACGGGTGCACCTTCGCCACGAGTCCACTTTGTCTAGACCCCGGGCGTTAGCTGGCGAAGGGAAGGACAATGGGGCGTTAGGGTGGAGGAGAAAGGCGCCGCCGCTCGGACCCGCGGGCCGCCCGCGGCCGCCCCGCCTCCCCGGCCCCGGGTGCGGGGCTGAGAGCGCGCGGGAGCAGGGGTGGTGGAAGGCGTGTCGCGGGGGAGGGGGCAAGGCTCAGCGGAATAGTCAAGGCAGAGGTTTGCAAAAGGCAGGAGGCGGGAGACGCTAAGGGAAGAGACACCCGGTGCGCGGAAGGGGGGATCGCAGTGGTCGTGGATGGAGGGCGAGCAAGGTGAGGACCGGATCCCCGCGGCCGGGAGTGGGCGACGGCGGAGGTCGCGCCCGCGGGGCACCGGGCGGCTCCGGCAGCGGCCGGGCGGGCACGGGTTTTCGCGGCCCTAAGCGCGGGGCCCGGGCGCCGCCGTCCACCGCGTGCGCACCCGAGCCTTTGTCTGCTGCTCGCTAGGGAACCGCGTTTCCGCGGCGCCAGCTCTCGGCGGGCTCTCCAGGGTCGCCGTTTTGGCTTCTGGCCCCCATCTGCCGCTCACTTCCCGGCCCTGGCCGCTCTTCGCCTCTGGGCACTTGGGGGCCAGCCGTCCCTCGCTGCTGGGACTTGTCTGGGTTCACCGCCCGCCTGAGCGCCCCTGGGCCTGCGAGCGCGTCCTGCGCGGGCCCAACAGCCCGCAGCGATCCCGCCTCCCCGGCGCGGGCAGATCCACCGGGGCCGCGTGGCCCAGCGGCCTCTGGCACCGCGCGCCCTGGCCCCCGGCAGCGGGTGGCGGGCTCTGCTACTTGCCGGCGGACCTGATAGGACGCTGGACGTGGGCCCTGCCCCCCGCCCGTCCCCGAGCCCTCTAGCGGGGGTCTCCCCTAGTCTGACGTGCGCCTCCCCGGCTCCGCCAGCCCCCACCTGCAGGTCGTGGTGCACTCTTAGGTGCCCAGTTGGGGAGGGACTGGTATGGGCATGGGGGGCCGGGCCTGCTGCCCTTAGTTGTGGGCATTTTTACTTAGAAGGCCACGGATTTGCCACGAGTTTTAGGTGGGGTGAGGTCGCAAGGAGCTCTGAAGGGTGTTGGGGAAGCCGTGGCCTGGGACTCTGGTGCCTGGCTGTCCCCTTCCACCTGCACCGTGCATTCTCCATAAACATCTGCTTTTCACATTTGGTGGCCGGAGTGTGTGGGGGGAGGGAAGGCTGTCACCTTGCCTGGGGTGAACACTGTTTTGGGGAGAGGGCAGTGGTGAGGAGATGGGTGTGGGTTGAATGGAGCAGAGTTCTCTAAAATGATGAGGTTTCTGTTTACTACCCTTACTGCCGTTAGTTTGGGGTGGGGGCACCTTGCCAGGGGTGTCGTGGGGCAGGATGAAGTTGACCGGTTCAGGCTGGCTGAGGCTGTCCTGGGGAGTGGGGGGGGGGGAGGAGTCAGCAGGCTTTCCCTTTGGAAGGACAGAGGACCTAGACAAGAAAACCATCAGGAGGGACCCACCCTGCAGAAAGTTCTGGCTGGAAGACGATGGCTGATAAACACACTCAAGAATTGCTGGCAGTTTGTCTTGGTGTATATGTTTTCTTCCCCCCTAACCAAGTCAGCAAGGGGTAGCTTGGGCTGTGAGTGAGAACAAGGGGCTGTAAAATGCTTCTTTGGGACATTACATGGGTCTGAGTAAGAAGGGGCTGCTCGGAAACAAAATCTCTTACTAGACCTGCCTTAGGCAAAGATGGAGGGAGGTGGAGCCCGTTTCTGCTATGACCCGTCTGGGGTCTTTGTTTCTGTCTCCCTGCGTGATAAGCCACCTCTGTCCAAACGGCCGAAGTACTGAAATCTTAGCAGACTTTTTTGGATATTTGTCAGTAAAAATGACCTTTTGGAAAAAAATGCTGGATTCTGTAAGAACGTAAAGAAAATGCCCAAATGTATACAGATGTGTCTTAACTGTGGCCTGTTTCTTCCCTTTCTTCCCTCTCGGGTTGGTGTCTCCTGGATCTAACTGTCCAGTTGTCCCGTATGAAGGCTGCTGTGTCCAATGATCGTTTCTAGGAATGCCGGTTCATTTCTGTCATTGTCAAAAAGCCCATCCTGTTTGAAGGTGTGAAGTGCCATTCCTGGCCATTTTGGCGGTGCATTTTGGTTCCCACCGTCCACTGGTTCACTCAGTACAGCGCGGAGCAAGTGCTTATTCAGATCTACTGCCAGTTGCTGGGCGCCGGCCAGGCCGAGCCCCAGAGGAGTTCACCGACAGTAGGGGGAGCCTCCCGGAAGCAGGTGTAGCACCGATGGCCAGCCCTAGAAGGTCAGTGGTCACGCTCCATCCCTGTCAAGCCATGCGGGACCCCCTCTCACCTGCCATCTGTCTACCTTTCCGTGTTGACCTCTGACCTTGCCCTCAGGCTCTGGTCTTCAGCACATTGCTGCTGGGAAAGTTGTTGACTGGAATAGAGCGGAATCTCTGCACCCAGAGACTCCAGATCCAGAAAGAATGGAGAAGTACACTTCGGGGCTGTGTGTGTGTGTGCGCGCGCGCGCATGCATGTGCGTGCGTGTGCAGAGGAAAGCTGAAAAGCCATGCTGTGATAGACCAGGAATAAGCTGCAGTCTTCTGGAAAACACAGCTCACCTTGTCTGCATTCGGTGCTGCGGTGGCAGGGGGCAGGAGACGTCCCTAGAGGGAGAAGGCTTGAGCGCTGATGGAGAACACGGCCCGAGGACGCTCAGAAGTGGGAAAGTCTCTCCTTTCCTCTCCTTCACAGGTGCCCCAGTCTCTGCCGCTGGCGCCTCCGAACGGTGCAGAGCTGTAGCAAAGCAAAAGTGCCGGTTGGTCAGGGAGGGGACGGGGAGAGCAAGGAGACGACCGGGCAGACTTGTGAGTGCCCTCCGCAGGCGCGCCTCGGACCGCCGCGTGTTGCAGTGTTCAGAAGTCCACAACAGAAAATGCACGTGTTTCTAGGAACTGTGGGCTTTAAAGACGCTCGCTTCGACCACTAACCGCTCTTGCTCTGTTTTCTTGAGACTTGAGATACTGTGTGGCCAGGACTTGACCAAACTGAGATAAATAGGGTTCCCTTTTAAGAGCCTGTGTGTGTCACACGCACAAGCTACACCCGGCTGCACGTTTCGCTCAATTTTATGGAGTTGGCGAGACTGAGGCCGCCCACAGCGGGGCAACAGAAATGGAGGTCAAGTCCATTAACAGCCAACCAACAGGTAATTGTTGAGTCCCTACTCGGTGCAAATTGTTGGTGAGGGAGGAAAACAATGAGAGCTGTTCCTTTGGAGGACTTGAAAATATAGCTCTGACTACCTCCCAAGATGACCAGACCAGCGAAGCAGCGCTGTGAATTTCCCTGCCAGGCTGGGCTGCGGGTCCTGGCAGAGCTCGCGTCCCAGGAGATGTCAGCGTCCGCTCTGGCCGGAGCCGTGAGAAGGGCTTAGAATCCCTCAGCCAAGCTGTTTAAACCGTGGGGAACTGTTTAGGCTTGTTCATTTAAATTTCACAAAACCCCTTTTTTCTTTTCAGAAAATCTACACGAACAAAGATAATCTCTGAAATGAGTGGCGATGGAAGAAGACAGTGTCTTCTGTCCAGTCAGCCTGATGCCTTAACCTCACATAACTTTACACATAAAGCTTTTTGTATCCCTTAGGGAAAGAAGTGCGTTTCACTAAGATAAGCAAGCCCCCGGCTGTAATGTACAACCTGGTGACTCTAGGTGGTAATACTGGGTTGCATATTTGAAAGTTGCTAAGAATGTGGATCTCAAGGGGCACCTGGGTGGCTCAGTGGGTTAAGCATCTGACCTCAGCTCAGGTCATGATCTCACCGTTGGTGAGTTCCAGCCCCGCGTCACCTGCGCCGACAGCTCAGAGCCTGGAGCCTGCTTTGGATTCTGTGTGTGTGTCTCTCTGTTTGCCCCTCCCCCACTCACTCTCTGTCTCTCAAAAAAAAAAAAAAAAGAATAAACATTAAACATTAATAATTTTTTTTAAAAATTAAAGAAGAATGTGGATCTCAAAAGTCCTTCTTCATCACAAGGGGAAAAAAATGCACTGCACCAGATAATTAAGCAAATGTTAGGATTTTGTTTACTATGAGAGTAGATTAAACCTGGTGTGATGAATATTTCATCAATTAATACATTGTTAATTTTTGTTTGTTTAAAAACAGCTCTTGCCGTCTGAGAGGGAAAGAAAAAAACCATTTTCATGAAAAAGGAATATTTCTCCCTTAAAAGGAAAGCTCTTAGTTGTAATTCAAAACATTTTAATTTCCTTTTAAAATGTAAATCAGGCTCCCCCAGCTGATCTAAATTGGTGGAAGGGAAAACCCCACGGAGACAGAGCAGCCCAAGATCTTACTAAGGAAACCGACCGAAGATGCCTGGCGCTCCGATTTTATTTGTAGCCTTTGCCAGTTTCTGAATTCTCTTGCTCCTTTGCTGGCCTGGTGTCTCCTGCCTGTCATCCCAGTGCGGAAAGTGCGCTTGGTGAGAGCCCGAGGCAGGACCTCATCTGTGGTTCTGTCC